GCTGGAAGATATTCATTTGTTTCGATGCCATTTTGTGTTTTTCTTTGTCCTCCAGCGATTTCATTGATCTTGATACAGTAGTGTCTGCGTACTTAATGCGTTTCATGGGGGAAGGCAACGAAACAGTGTTCAATAACGTATCATTTTTGTATAGAATAAACCGGAAGTTGCAATATAAAATGCCACCAAAAAATTTTTGATCAAGCAGGATTTGGCAGCTAATAATCTTTGACTATGTGATAGGTATATATGTAATTATGCTACCATTTATACGATGTACTGTGTTACTGTTCATTTATTACTAATCCTGTTCGTACGCAGCATGTAATAATAATTTAATGGAATAATATACAATCCCAAGTCAGAACTGGGGAAAAGTGAAACTAAATTTATTTTATTCTCGAAACTTTCGATTTTTTCAGTTAGTTAGTTGATGTTTGTTTTCCAGTTGTTTATTAATTTGAAATGTGAACCTTTTTTATCATAATTTTATTTTAGGATACCGAGTTTCCCGGTGTTGTTGCAAGACCAATCGGCGAGTTTCGTAGCTCGACCGATTATCAGTATCAGCTGCTTCGATGCAACGTTGATCTGCTGAAACTGATTCAAGTTGGACTGACGTTTTTCGATGATGATGGGAATACACCGCCAGATTACTGTACTTGGCAGTTTAACTTCAAGTTTAGCCTAGGGTACAGTGATTGTCAGCGACGCTGGCATGCCGTAACAAGTCCAGTGTTTCTAGCGAGGACATGTACGCTCAGGATTCAATTGATCTTCTCCAGAACTCAGGTATTCAGTTCAAGCACCACGAGGATGATGGAATTGAGGTGTTTCATTTTGCCGAACTGTTGATAACATCCGGTCTGGTACTGTGCGAAAACGTGAAATGGTTATCATTTCACAGGTAAGATAAAATTTTCCTTTCACGTTTTTCGTCAAATGTATATCTTAATTCAAATTTATGATGCATTTGTTTCAGCCATGAAGTTAAGTTAAAATTTTTATTTAAATGTAGTCGCCTATGCTCTTTTTCTCAGTGCGTTTTTTGGCAGGAGTTTGCTATATGAGACGGTTTATACTCCATATTCGTTTCATTGACTGAGGCTTCAGTCACACTCATGGCTTCGCTTCTTTGTTTATGTCATTGCGTATTAGTTTATTTTGCTATGTCCTTTTTTCTGGCATCGTTCCTTGTTTAATCAAGTTGCGAAAGTTGCGTTGGTAGTAATCAGGTGATCTTCTTTTCGCTTGGCCGAATCAACGAAGCATGTTTTTGATAAATTCCTTGTTTAAACCACTTAACATATTCATCTGGCACTGTTTATTCTGTGGAGTTCATGTTTCTTTTTTCGCCATTATGGCAAGAACTACGTAAGGAATGATTTTATTCCCTTCAGTTCACAGGTGTCCTCAATAAATGTAGATATGAAGTTTAAGGAACTTGGTCTTGTTAGACAAACTGGTTAAGCATTGATCCATTTGCTATAGCCCACGAGCGTTTATTGTGGGAATCGAAACATAATGGGCATTAACAGAGAGATCTTGAGATCTTCGTACGACATGATGTACCGTGTAGAAGTAGGTATGCGTTTGGAGAGGAATGTAGTAACCGGTGTCGTTTTGCTTATCCAAACGGCATGAGGTCATGATCTCAACAAACACACAACGTTTCATTTCATGACTGTCGAACATTCACCTCCATAAAAAGTTCTGATATTACTGGTATTGCTCTTCCTTTACTCCTTAATTTTCTTTAAGATTGTTCATTTTCGTCTATTAATGGTCTTACTGTTTTAGTGTTCTGGCAGTTGATATTAGTTAATTTGTGCTGCCATCGATGTCCAAGATGTCCAAGTGTCCCGTTTCTTGGTTGTTTACACCAGAGCACGTGTACTTGTCCAAAAGTATGCACAGACAAACTGGGTGGGAATTAACATTTTACAATCGTTGGGTCATCGATTTCCATTACAGAGCCATTTTAACGCTCTTTGTTTTATACAACCTAGAGAGCGGCGCTGGTCGCTGTTTCACTATTATAAGGAAGGCGTGCATTTACGAAGGGAAGTCTGCAGTTTTATCTTCATCTTCCATCGCCGCTTCTCCTTTCGGGTCGCGGAGGCAGACGCGTCAGACAGTGCTTCC